AGGAAGAGAGAAAGCTTCCTGGAAGACTACTTCTGAAAACAGAAGCTTGATATCCAGGCTCAAGAAGTCAAATGTAATTGCTGCATCCTTGTCATCAGCCTTGGTCATCAAAATACCTAGAGAGGAGGTAGTAAGTTCCTTCAGATATTGTTTTAACTGCTTGCCTTTATTCAAATGGCTACTGTCCGTAGATGTTTTCATACCTTCCTAGTGGCAACGGACACATTTGAGAAAGAAACTGGTATTAGTTGCCATAGTAAGCACAGTCCTTTTCAGTGTTAGGAAGAAAAATGGTTGGGAGAGAACTGAAAGTAAGAGGTTTCAGAAAGGAGAAGGGAAGGACTGTTCATGCTTTGTGCACTGCCAGAGAAATTGTTGGAGCTAATTCGGCATGTGGTGACTGCTCTGCCTGGTCAGGTGAATGTCAGTACCCTGTGGTCTGTCCTGGGGGAAGCTTTATAGCTGTCTGTCTATAAACAAGATTTTTATGAGTTTCCTTAAAAATTGAAGTTGATTTTCAACTGGTTTAGATTTTTTTTTTGGACTGGTAAAGGGATTCTCCTGCATGCTGTTAAATAGCAGTTCTGTAGCGTGTCGATTACCTTGGATGTCAGTTTAATCAAATTCAGTTTTCATGTGACTTACTTCAGTACCTGCCTGTTTGCTACTCATTCTCTAGGGAAAGAAAGAAAAACCTGTTTGACAGTTACCCAAGTTTTAATTGATTTAGTACTAAAGTATAGCAATTATTATCAAGGCTGTGGGAAGCTGTGATATGTCAAAGACACTAATGTGCTTGTTTGTGACAATTGCATAATGGTAGCAATAAATGTCATACAAATGTAGCTAATTATCCATATGAATACGCACACAGGCTGTCTTGAATTTTTTCAGAATGCTTGCTATCTGATATAATTTGTTTTATGGCTTTCCCCAAGAGCAGTTTGGTACTAATAATTTGCTATTGTTACAGACTCCTTTTCATATTACAGGCATTTTCTTCATTTTCTGTACAACTAGAATCTGAAAAGCACTGACAGTGCAGAAATCTGGATTTTAAAACTAACTGCATCATACTATTTTTGTTTGGATATTCTGGGGACTTGTTTGGATTTGAGAGATTCAGTAATGTGCATCCTTAGTGAATTTGTTGCAGTTAACTCTTCTAGAGCGATTGGGAATAATAAACCATAATATGAAGTTGTGAATGGAAAAAGCAAGTAAAGTGAGTATGTCATCCTCTTTAGGAAGAAAAGTTAAGTCTGCAAGCCAAGAAGGCAACCTAGTATGAGTTGCAGGTTTGCCTCCCTTGTTCTTCCTCTGTTAAAGTGTGGTCAGCTGACGTATGAAAGGTGACACTCTACCCAGCCCTAAATAATCAAGACTTACATGGCTGTGGATTATTGCAGTTGATTATGACGGGGTTTATAGCTCACTAAATCCTGGTATGTTTATGAATTCTTAGGCTAAAGTAGCAATTCTGAGGAAGCCTTCAGTTTGCCTTTTGTCTTTCTATGGCTCTGTGTTACCAGCCTTTGTGGTGGTCTCTCCGGCAGAAGAACTTCCAGGGCACTAGTATCTTCCCTTGGCCCTCCCTATTATCATCTATAACTTGGTTTAATCGGAGTGGAGTTTGAAAGAGTTCTGGTGGTGCTGCAATTGAGGCTGCCCCTCGATGAGTGGGCTCAGTGTTGGGCCCCTCACCCCAAAAAGGCCATTGAATGACTCGAGCGTGTCCAGAGAAGGGCAATGGAGCTGGTGCAGGGTCTGGAGCACAGGTCTGCTGGGGAGCGGCTGAGGGAACTGGGGGGGTTCAGTCTGGAGAAGAGGAGGCTGAGGGGAGACCTCCTGGCCCTCTGCAACTCCCTGACAGGAGGGTGCAGAGAGGGGGGATGAGTCTCTTGAGCCAAGGACCCAGCGCCAGGTCAAGAGGGAATGGCCTCAAGCTGTGCCAGGGCAGGGTCAGGCTGGCTCTGGGGAAGGATTTCTTTGCAGAAGGGGCTGTTGGGTGTTGGAATGGGCTGCCCAGGGCAGGGGGGGAGTCCCCAGGATCCCTGGAGGAGTTGAAGAGTCGGGTTGACCCAGTGCTGAGGGATCTGGTGGAGTTGGGAACTGTAAATGTTGGGTTGATGGTTGGACTGGGTGATCTTCAAGGTCTTTTCCAACAGAAAACATCTTAAAAAACAGCAACAACAAAAAAGGTAGCCCAAAACCTCTTTCCTATTTTTTAGACACCTTTAGCTCAGAATTACTTTTATACTTTTTTTTTGCTGTCCACTTTTGATCAGTGCTTGTTTTTATTTGTAAAGTAGGCCTGCTTACCTTATTTTTTGATTGTTGCATTGTCACATTTGAAGACTGGGAGAGAACAGATTGGATGCTTCGGTGTTTTCAGACATTTGAAACAACATGTTCTTGCTGTAGTGTGTTTGGAGAAAGAAAAAAAAATCCTGACCATTAGAAGAGGAAGATGATAGTATTTAAAAAATAAATTAAATAAAAGGAAATGTCTGCAATAAAATGGATTTCAGGCTGGAAGGTAAACAATGCTTTGAAGAGACATTATTTGGCTTGACAAAAGTCTTTGCATCAGTAAAAGTGGGTCTGTTTTCAGGAGCACGTGTCAGCTAAACTTCCTGTGGCAAAATCTCTTTACAGAGTGTCTGGTCAGCCAGATTTTGGATTGGTTTCCCTTTGGCATGAGCTTGTCACTCAGAAGTCTCTCACTGACTGATGTGCTAACTGGACTCTTTGAAGTTGCTTTGAAGTTGCATCGTTAGCTTGAGGCCCCTTCTCATTTTTCTCTCTCTGCTCACATATTGATTCCCAATTGTTTCTAGAAGCTTTAATTTAAAGACAATCCCAAATTTTTCTTCGCGATGTCTGATTTTTTCATCTAGTCAGTGCTCTGTTCTTAGACTTGATATATTTCTTTAAATATTTTTATGTGTTTCTTCATTAAAATTAGAGTTTTTAAACTGTTGCCACATCTCATCCTATGCAGATATGTCAGACTCCCCACACTGATGAAAAAGAGCCCTCTTAGCATTTCCCCAAAGTGGTTTTATCCTTAATTGTTCTCTGATCTTTGTTCTTTAGCCCTTATACTGCTGATGTGAAGTAGGTCACACATTTCCTGAAGAGAGCTAAAAAAACCCACCATGGGGTTGGCAATAGAGGTTTGAGTTGAATCACATCAGATTGTGAAGTGAGTGCTCTTGAGTTAAGAACAGAAAATTAAACTTGAAAATTATTCTTTATCCCTATTCTTTTGCAGGCGGATTCCTGCCTCTGCTAGAAGATTTTTGAAATTATTGCAAACTATTGGTGATAGCAAAAGCATACACTGGAGCTTTCACAAATTTCCATTTGTGAAGTAGAGTTTGCATTAGCCATTGTTTCCAACTCTTAAGTGATTGAAGTACTACTACTCTGTAGTTGTATCTTGCTCTTATTATGAGGATTACTTGAATGTGTGCTTCTTTCAATCTCCATAAATTCAGATCAAATGCTAAGTGGTTTTAGTAGTTGTGAGCTACAAAATCTTTCTTAGTCTACTTACTTAGAATAACAAAATTCTGAGTCTGAGCCCTGAGGTTGTTTCAGGATTGTGAGTTTATTTATGGGTGTAGGTATTGAAAGAGAAGAGCACTTTCATAAGAATAACCTTGTTGTAGCATCTCCTGCAGCCTACAAAGGTTTATATTGCCTTGTATTATGTGACTGCAGTGCCAGTTCTCCCCCCACAGTGCTGCCACCGAACTGCCCAAGCCGTAGGTCACAGAATTCAAGGCTGTGTATTAAAAATCCCCATTGTGGATCAAAAATGTACTTGCATCGGGTATTTTCCTCTGTGGAAAAGCTCTTGTCAATAAACTCCACCTATGTGCTTCAGTTAGTAGTGATATAGTAGTTTGTGGGGCTGTTTAGTAAGCAGTATAACTAAAATTATGAAAAAACATTATGCAAGGTGACTTTTCTGCTTCAGCAAAAGAAATTCAAACTGTTTACTAGATGTGGGACATTATCTGCCTCTTTCTCTTTTTCCTATAGGTATGATGCGTGTGTCAGGTGTTACAGTGGGTGCCACAGGCTGTTGTGCTGGGCACAACTACTTCTTAAATTGCCATAATTTAGGTGGCCACTGCTTGTCTGTCTGTAGGTTAAAGGTTCTGACTGTCAGGCAGGGATGCTGTGTGGCAGGCCAGTAAGATGCCCGAAGCTGGAACACGTCTCATCAGCTGGTGAGCCCAGTAGAATTTACAGTGCAGTCCTTGAAACCTTCATTCAAACAGTAACTTCCAGTGAAGACACTACTTTTAGTATCAATAAAGTATTATCCATGTGGATGGTTTTTAATATCTGGTGTTGGATGTGTCACTGGTGTGATGGTCTATTACAGCAACAGACATTCAAGCAATAGAATTAAAATCTTGCAGCTGAGATGGTGAAGCACTGGGGTACCCTCCTGAAGGGCGTATATGGGATTTTTGTTGGTAGAGGTTACACGAGCAGCTATGAGGAGTGTTGCAAATACAGGTTAGTCCTGCTCTGTGGTCAGCAGCACATAGGACTTTGTCCTTCAGGCGGTTGTTCTTGTGATTTTCCCTCCCCCCCCC